CGCCAGTTTCGCTCAGAATTGCTACAGCCCTCACACAGTAGTGAGAAAATGCGTAAATTCAACAGAATGCGTCTATTCAAGAAGTCAGATGTACCTGGAATAGATCATATTTAAACTGTGTGTGAAAATCAACTGGATGGTGCGGGAAGAAAAAAAGTCTGGGAACAATGAAAACAAAATCTTACTGTAGTTTAGTCAAAAAGTTGCGGGAAAAAAGGGGGGCATTTGGAACGAGGAACAGCTCATTCGTAATCTGGTGCTCTTTGCTTGCCGATAGCTGGAGATGCAGTGTCATATCAAACACTAACAAACGAACAACCTGTAGCGCAAGCTCGGTAAGTGTTAAGCCGCCAAAAGTATCGATGGGGATGCATAGCGATCGGTAGGTATCCAAAGAAGACTGCTTGTATGCCGCATCCAACACTGCGCTTGCATGATTGCCAAACCATCGTGCCATTGCACGTAACTCGTTCTCGTACAGCAGATAATCGTGAACCTAAATTCTCGCAAGCCAGCAGCTGAAGACAAAAAAGTAGTACCCACATACTGCGGTTTTAGGCGGCAGCGAGTTACAGTGCATGCAGCTTAACTGAAAGAAACGTTTCCACACTCTTTTCCTCCACATTTTTTCTGCTCTGTCATCCATTCATTCGACATTTGTTATGTTCAAACCTTTGATAAATTCTGAAAAATGAGCGACCTCAGCAGCTAGTGAGTTACATATTCGTGCAAGAACTAGTGCCAGCGGGACCGGTTCGCTGGAATATGCGCAAAGGCATTTGGCTAATTCGAGGCGGTTGAGTAGAAGCGACCAAATTGCCAAGATTTGCAGGGATTGATGAGTATTATTCGACACTGGCTGTTGCTGGAAATGAAGCACCGGCAGCAAATTTTTGATACCGCCCGAGAGATATACCTGCAATCATTAACAAGCTGCAGTTTATAGAACAGCACGTCAGTGAATCGTGGAAAGATCAATCGGCTTAACGGCAGTCCATTCGGCCGCTACGTACAATTAGTCGGAAAAACATGAGAGTTGCACGGAACTTTAATGGTAAACGAAATAATTTATGATACTATGATTTATGGATTTAGTTCCGTTAGTTAGGTCATAGTACTTTAAAATGATTTATAGAGTATCCCTGCAAGTTATCACCCACTTCTTAGAAAAATATTTCATTGTTTAAGTGTAAATTGGTAGTTTATCTTAATTTTTGACCTAGATTTTGAGAGATTTTGAAGAATGTGCTTTAATTATCCAGCTGGGAGGTTGAAATTTTGAGCATATGTTCCCTACCCCGTGTGTCATCCTCCCGTTTGAAGATTCTCCCCCCACACACGCCTAAACTCCCCGGAAGGACTCCTGGAAAAAATGTGCAAATTTCTTTGACGAAAAGCGGTTTCGCGAACCAGGCAAGTTAGAAAGCTGAAA